AGGGACCAAGACATTCAACTGAGACTTCTCCTCATGGAGAAACCATTGCAACCGCTTCAGACCCTGGTCTGAACACTTCCCCCACACAGATCCCATGCTCTGTTAGGTTGTCCACTGACCCTCATTCGCCATATCCTTCAAAGAGGAAATCTTCTCTCCCACACTGAGGAACTGCATGCCAGAACACTGTTAGTAGCCTTTACATCTTCAGGGATTAGATATAGCTTCAGGGTCTGTCTGAGTAGCTCTGGTACTACAGCTAAAGAGAGGTCTAAAGACCCCGAACAGTCGGGCCTACAGGCAATGGCACCATCACTTGGCACAGGAAATGCTGAATGAGACCTTCAAAACCAGTGCCAACTACTCCCAACTAACTCAATTTTGGGCTTCATGACACCAATGAAATAATTGGAACTGGTAGCTTTATTGGCATTGGCGTATGACAATGAATAAGCTCTTGGCACCGAAAGGGCTTCCTGCAACTGCACCCTTGGCACCGAGGCAAGCCTTTAGCAACAAGTATGTCCTTGGCTCCATCTGCTGGTAGTTTCAGAGAATGCACCTCTCCCTCAGCACCACTGCAACTTGTGGTGCCAATGATTCTTATCCCTCTACCCCAAAAGTTCAGAAACCCCAAGGACTTGAGGATATATGGCATGCCACTTCTCAGACTTGATCCCACATCCTCATGTCCAGAGTCTCTACATTTCTCCTTTCACTTCTGCAGGGTCGTACCACCCTTTCCCAGTGAAGAAGAGAACGATGACCCCATCCTGCCCTAACATGCACAAAAGACATCATGTTCTTGCTACCCACAACATGCAAGTTACTGAGAGTCTTGGTACAGACCACTGTTGGATGCAATGTCAAATGCTACTCTCTTCACATTGGCTATACTTGGATCCATGGGCAATATACATGAGTTTCCAAACTATTCCATAAAAAAAAAAAAAAGCCAGACACACCTACGTTTGCCATCTTTGTCAGTCTCCTTACCCCCAGAACTTGATCCACTCCTGTTAGCAGATGAGAGAGAGACACAGAGGTGAAGGTTACACCACCACTATTTCTCCTCTTTTTCCCCAGCTGAGGCTATCATACCTCCACCCCAATTCAGGAGACTATTTTAAAGGCTGTCAGCAGATGTTTTGCACAATAGCCAATACTCTCCAGATTCCTCTGGAAGAATTTAAAGCTGTTCCACATCCTGTACACCTCTTTGTCAGCAAAACTAGTCTGCCTGTCAATGAGGCCTTTCTTATCCTGGTCAACGTGTTCTGGCAGATCTCACCATTCATCCCACCAACTTGTAAGTAGGAGAACAAGAAATATTACATCACTGCTAAAGACATGGATTTTTTCCCTTCCTTTTCCAAACTCCTTAGCTGTCACTATTATACACACAACAGGGTACCGATACCACACAAAGTCCACCCTTTCTGACAGGGACAGGAAGTGACTGGGCCTATTTGGCTATAAGGCGGCGCTCTATATAGGTTGCCATCTCGGTGCCACTCCAGGGGGTACCAAGGCTGACCCTAAGGCTAGCTGCTAGAGAGAGAATTTTCCAGCTACTGTGCATGTGTGTGCTAGGTGATTGGTATCAGATTGGAATGCACATGAAAAAGCACTTGAAGAATTCTGCAAACTCAATTTTTTGGAAAAGTTTGCCTTTGTTGGGCCTATGTATATATGTACTACTGGTAGGGAAATGCAGCATTTTGAGAGTTAATGATTACATTATCTGCAGGTAATAGGGGAAATAAAGTGATAATACATTTAATGACACTGACTGAGGGACTCACATTGCAGATTGTTATGTATTTCTCTAAGAAAAGTAAGTACTATTTGTAAGATTGGTAGCCTACACGTCACTATAATTGGTTGTGAATGATTTGAAGAATGCTTGTCCACAATGTACAATCGTGATCTAAATATTGTTTTGTTTTCTTATAAATGTTTGACACAGTGTTCATTTAAATCTTTTTTGGCTGTGCATCTGAGGCGGCTAATGTGTATATCAAAAACCCTTCACAGCAAGTCAACTGTTTCCATGGAAACTGCAGAGTGATCTGTTACCCACCAGCTCTGTGATTCTTGGGGAACCAGAACATGGTCACCTGTCAGCTTTGTGCTCTTGGGGAGCCAGGGAGTGACATTCATGGAAAACCATCCCCCTCCCTCAAGCCTCTGCTAGAATCAAAGACAAAGCAATGAAAAGGCCGGGGAAGACACATTTAAACTGCTTCAGACAATGGGATACAATTAAGGAAACACCCCAGCCTCATTTGCATTAAAGATGAAACAGAGGGACATTTCATTAGCATACAGAATGGAGAGCAGCTCTTCCAAGGCAGGAACTGCAGTGAACTATGGGACACCGAAAGCAGAGAAGAACTGCCTGATGGGAAATCTCTGCTCCAGATGCTAATGAACCCAGGCCTGCTCACACCCAAATTAGTCATTATCAGACCAATTCTAGTAACAATCCTATTGACATCTAAAATACTGAAACTGCCTAGCTTCATTGTGAGCTCATTCAAGGAACATCAACCATAACCAGGGGTGATCAGTCTCTATTGTCTCTCCTCTTTCTCTTTGAACTATCTCTATAAAAACTCGTATCTTTGCCCCAAGAAAAACTGTTCCGATACTTGGACTTAAACTGCATCAGTTCCATTGAGACTTCTTCATCTCCTGTCTGATCGTGCTGGGGGCTCTGTTCTGCTTGTCTCCTGCCCTCTGTACCCCCGGCTACCGTCATCATCTGGGAACCCCTATTAGTGCAAGCTCCGTGGAGTGGTGAGGTCTCTCTCTCTCCCTCCCATCAACTATCTCTCTAAGCATAGCTTCCTGACCCTGTCCTATGTAAACTGTTATATGGTTACCTAACATTTGTAATCAGTTTTAATTTAGATTTAACATTGTAACTGTTAGATTTAATATTGTAACTTTTTTATATCTATTCACTACTCAGAAATAAATAACTTTCATTGTTAAGCTGGTTGCTTCTCTCTCTTTCTTTCTCTTTTGCTCACTCTTCCTTAAGGGGTGTTGTTTTGGCTTCCCCATTCGCTCTGCAACAACGCTTCTTGTACCCAAGCTAAAGATCCCTGTAGTGCCCAAAATCCTGTGGGGTTTGCTCATCGTGTGGTTTACCAATGAATGACTGTGGTGTGAAAGTGGGGATAGGCGGTGCTGAACCTGGGGGCGTATGAGGGTGGCAGCTTAAAGTGCTGTTTAATCCAGCCCACTGAGTCCAAAGGCACATGAGGGTGCAGTGTGGCATTGCGTTAAACTCAGCCAGCTGAGTCCAGGGACATACAAGGGGGTCAGCTTGTGAGTGCTGATTACCCAGTCCTCTCAGACGTGCTCTGGTAGTGGGTATGAGCGTCTGTGTGTGTTACTAAGGTGGGAAGAACCCCATCCTGAGGAATCTAGTTCCTGCAGGAGAGCTCCAGTGGGAGGGGGAATTGGCAGCAGGGAGAATTCAGCTCCATATGGGTATGTCTACACTACCACCCTAGTGCGAACTAGGGTGGTAATGTATGCAATCGGAGATGCAAATGAAGCCCGGGATTTGAATTTCCCAGGCTTCATTTGCATATTGCCGGGCGGCGCCATTTTTAAATGTCCGCTAGTTCGGACTCCGTGCCCGCGGCTACACGCGGCACGAACTAGGTAGTTCGGATTAGGCTTTCTATTCCGAACTA